CTGCCTTCATAGCTTTGCTCAAACTTTTCTTCCTAGAATGCCTTTAAAAACAACAGTCCTCCCCTTTTTATTTTGCCTCCTGCCGTGTTCCCTTCAGAGTATTTTAGATTAACATTATCATAACCAGTAGGAAACTCTGCTCCCTGAAAGTTAATTAAAACAGTAGAGTGAGGACTTCCATTTTCTTTAAATAGCTACAGTCTGAATTTCCAAGTCAGCCTTTAAACTGCAAAGATAACAGGCTACTTGGGTAACATAACACAGACAAACAGAGAATTCCTGAAAGCTGACACGACAAGGAGGCAAGGCTTTATCACCCAGCGGCCAGCCACAAATGAGTTTGTAAAAGCAAAGCTTTTTTTTTTTTTTTTTTTTTAATTTTGAGAGGTCGAAGTTACCAAGTAACTATGTGATTAGGGTGCTTCTACTTATGAGTGACTACATTTTGCAATTCAGTGCTAGGTCAGAATAAGAGGATATTAACACCCAGCTTCAAGTGGGAAGGGAATATTCACAATTTACAGCTTTGCTACAAAAATGCAGCTATTTCCCATGGGAAAGAAATTACTTTGCATAACCTAGAGAGGAGTTAACGAAGGGAGGAAAAAAACACTTTCAAGAAATTAGCCTGTTAGTTCTTTTCTTTTTTCTTTTTTTTTTTTGAGATGGAGTCTCACTCCATCGCCCAGGCTGGAATGCAGTGGCGTGATCTCGGCTTACTGCAACTTCCACCTCCCAGGTTCAAGTGGTTCTTCTGCCTCAGCCGCCAGAGTAACTGGGACTACAGGCATATGCCGTCACACCGAGCTAATTTCTGTCTTTTCAGTAGAGCCAGGGTTTTACCATATTGGCCAGGCTGGGCTTGAACTCCTGATCTCGTAATCCACCAGCTTTGGCCTCCCAAAGTGCTGAGATTATAGGCGTGAGCCACTGTGCTTGGCTCCCCCTGAGTTCTTACATTTCTAGAGCAATTAAACCTCTAAAATCTAATTCCTGGCCGGGTGCAGTGGCTCATGCCTGTAATCCTAGCACTTTGCGAGGCCAAGGCAGACAGATCACTTGAGGTCAGGAGTTCAAGACCAGCTTGGATAACAAGGTGAAACTCTCTGTCTCTACTAAAAATACAAAAAAATTAGCTGGGCATGGTGGTGCATGCCTGTAATCCCAGCTACTCAGGAGGTTGAGGCAGGAGAATTGCTTGAATCCGGGAGGCAGAGGTCACAGTGAGCTGAGATTGTGCCATTGCACTCCAGCCTGAACAACAAGAGCGAAACTCCATCTCAAAAAAAAAAAGAAAAGAAAAAAAATCTAATTCCATTTCTAAAGGCTTTAACATCAATTACAGTAATAAATATATCATTTCCCATGGACAAGGTGCTATGCTGAGTACCCACTGGAATCAATGGGGAGGTTATAGTGAAGAGAGAAGCTTTGGAATTTAACTGCCTGGGTTCAAATCCAGGCCCCGTCACTTGTTATGCACCTGTGGGTAGCTTTCCTAGCCCCTCTAGAACCACTTATTTGTCTCAATAAACAAAGTTTAGCATGGTTGCTGTTACCAATATGCTTAACCCTAATAGCAACCCTGTGATGGTTGGCACTGTCATTGTCCCCATTTTATACATAGGAAAACTGTGCTTTGTAGCTATTAAGTGGCTTATTATTTAGGTCACATAGCTAGATGGTGGCAACTTAGGGCTCCAAACCACATGCACTTTACCACTGTTAGAGGTTTCCTTTTTTTTTGAGATGGAGTCTTGCTTTGTGCCCAGGCTGGAGTGCAGTGGAGCTTACTGCAACCTTCGCCTCCCAGGTTCAAGCAATTCTTGAAATTAGCCACCATACCTGGCTAAATTTTGATATTTTTAGTAGAGATGGGTTCACTACGTTGGCCAGGCTGGTCTCTAACTCGTGACGTCAGGTGAGCCACCCACCTCAGCCTCCCAAAGTGCTGGAATTATAGGCATGAGCCATCATGCCCGGCTTAATTTTTTTATTTTTACTAAAGACAGGGTTTCACTATGTTGGCCAGGCTGGTCTCGAACTTCTGATCTGTCAGCCTCTGCCTCCCAAAGTGCTGGGGTTACAGGCGTGAACCACTGTGCCCAACCAGTTTCTTTTTTTGCATCCCAACACAAATTTGTAAGAATTATTACCTTCTTGGCCAGCAGAGTAAAGAAGGTTTACTTGACAGAAATGGAACACTTCTGTCTTATTTCAGGCTGGGACTTTGATGAATCAACAAAACACTTTTGTGAAAAAAAAAATCTTGAGAAGCGATTTTCCTCTCTACGGTACTTGGTTAAAAGTTAAAGTTCCCCAAGTTCTCCTGGCTAAGTTTTCAATCTGCGGGTAAGCACGGTGAATATCCCAGAACAGCAGCATTTTCCACACTTATTTCTTCCTGATGTTGAAGCATCTTGCTGGACTACCCACTCTATGAACCACAAGATCAGAGTAGGAGTCAGGCCTCTGCATTTCACAGCTTAAGTATTTTGCATTTCAAAATGCTTTGCGTTTCACAGCTTAAAAACACTTGATGCAACTAAATGAACACAAAAAACCCAAGTTTCACCTTAACACATCTTTAGACAGCTACTAACACCACAGCGGATCAATCCTGTGCAGGAAGTAACTCTCTTAAACCATTTGAGTGATCAGTTTCTTTCTCTACTGGAGTGGACCAGGCCGTTAGACCCATCACAGCTACTTGGTCCTGAAATAATACTCAGCATACTTGGCCTCTTCAGGTAGCTGCTGGCTGAGACATGGGCATGCGTGGAATTCAGTGGGAATAGAAAGTAGCATGACATGATCTACTTCCACTTCTCAAAGTGCACGCTCTCCAAAGTCTACGGGAGCTGTGGAACAACATTGTGGGGGTAGAATTCTACATTCCCTCATTGATAAGCATTTCCATGCCTTTTGGTTTGGTTCTGGAAACAAACTAAGTGATAACATAACACATAACAATACAGTCTTGTTATCTGTGTTCACATGGCTAATGCGGTTAATCCATTTTTTTGTGTGATCAGGAAAGACACATTGAATCACACATACAGGAAGAAGGATTAAAGAGTTGGGGCTTCAAGTTGACCATAAATAATTTTTCACTTGTCTAGTAGGAAGTTTCCCAGGAGAGAAACAATTTCTTTGGCTTTCCATTATTTTGTAGGAAAACACTAACTGTATTGATTGTGTTTCTTTTATGTGTCCTTTTTCTAATTCTAGATTTAAGAGTAAATTTTTTTAAATTGTAGTAAAATATGCATAAAATTTATCATCTCAATCATTTATAAGAATAGTGTGTTTGGTAGTGTTAAGTAATGTTTATGTTAGTGTTTTTTTCGGGGGGCTGATTTTTTGTTGTTATAATTTATTTATTTTGAGACAGAGTTTCATTCTGTCTCCCAGGCTGGAGTGCAGTGGTGTGATCTTAGCTCGCTGAAACCTGTCTCCTGGGTTCAGGCGATTCTCCTGCCTCAGCTTACCAAGTAGCTGGGATTACAGGCACACGCCACCACACCCAGCTAATTTTTTGTGTATTTTTAGTAGATTTGGGGTTTCACCATGTTGGTCAGGCTGGTCTTGAACTCCTGACCTCAGGTGATCCGCCCACCTCAGCTTCCTAAAGTGCTGGGATTACAGGCATGAGCCATTGCGCCCGTTCATGTTGTTGTACAGCCAATCTCCAGAACTTTTTCATCTTGGAAAAATGGAAACTGCACCATTAAACAGCTCCCCATTCACTCCTCTTGCAGTTCCTGGCCACCACCATTCTACTCTCTGTCTCTATGAATTTGACAGGAGAAAACTGAAATCTTTTTATGGTAAATATTTACAGATTTTCATGTTAACCTCCTTCCCAGCCTAAGTCATTCTTATGGATGATATTTCTTCTACCCAGTATTAAAAGAATTGAAAGTTCAAAGTCGACGTGATCGGAGTCCTCAGGGAGCTGGCTGACGTTTAGAAAAATCTCTCATCACATTTTCATTCTCATTAGAAATTCCTTAGACCTAAAAACGAATAGCTTGACAGTTGATCCCCATCGAGCATGCAGATGGGCAGAGTAATTGTCCCCTGTTACAAGTTAGGCCACAGACAAAAATGTAATAACAGGAATTCTAGCTGAGAGGACACTGTGTTTCCCAGAAAACAAGCAGGTTTCCTGCTACAGGATACATCTTTGGTGGACTGCTAATAAAAGGCTGACACCAATCCCGTGCATCAGTCGTGATGTTGGAAGAGTGAGTTTCTAGGCTGAGCTTCCACTGGTTACCATAGACGTCAAACCAAGCAAACTTCTCACAACTCAGAACTTGGCAAGTTACTTCCAAAGTTCTTTTCTCAGGCAGTTTGTTATAAACCCATAGAGTTGCTGGATTTAGCAAATAAAAGTATAGGATGCCCAGTTAAATTTGAATTTCAGAATGAACAACAACAAATTTTTTAGTATAACTATATTCAAAATATTAAATCTGCCAACTCTAACCTAGATCACCCCTTTGGGATTCTTCTCAATAGAAATAATCCACCACCAGTCTGGTAAGAGAGTAGTAGGAATACAGCATTTGGTAAAATCTTTGGTTTATTATGCTACCATCAGAAAGGAAGGAACCCTTTTGTTATTTTGAGGCAGGATTTTGCTCTATCATCCAGGCTGGAGTGCAGTGGCATGATCATGGATCACTGCAGATCATTTACCCTCTGGGCACAAGTGATCCTCCCATCTCAGTCTTCTGAGTAGCTGGGGCTACAGGTGCACGCCCCATATCTGGCTAATTTTTGTATTTTCCGTAGAGACAAGATTTCACCATGTTGCCTAGGCTGATCTCAAACTCTTGGGCTCAAGCAATTTGCCCACCTCAGTCTCCCAAAGTGCTTGGATTATAGGCATAAGCTAGGAATGAACACAGTTATTGAGCACAAGCAAGTGCCTTCATAGCATTCCACTGTAATATACACAAGAATCCTATGCAATAGGTCATAGTTTTATATTCATATTTTTATAATATGGAAGCCCAGGCTCAGAAAGGTCTAAGACCACAAAACTTCTAGGAACAGGGAGACTTGGGACTGAATGCAGTTCTAAAGGCCAAATCTTATTACTACAAACCATAGGCCTAGAGCTGATTGGTTGGTTGGTAGGTTGGTCTTTTTTATTTTTTTCTGTATATGTACTGTCTGCATGTGTACTAGCTCTAATAAAGTGATGGGCAGCTAGAAGATCTTTCTAAATCTCAGTTTTTTTATCTGTAATTTAGAAAGAGTACCAACATCTTGAGGACTAAATGAGTTTGTGTAAGTAAAATGCTTCCACTTGTTATACACAGCAAGTGCCTAGGATGGCCTCCTTAAAAGCCCAAAGCAGATGGGTGGAGTGGCTCATGCCTATAATCCTAGCACTTTGGGAGGCCGAGGCGGTCTGATTGCCTGAGCTTAGGAGTTCAAGACCAGCCTGGACAACATGGCGAAACCTGGTCTCTACTAAAAATAGAAAAAATTAGACTAGCGTGGCCATGCATGCCTGTAATCCCACGTGCTCAGTAGGGTGAAGCAGGAGAATCGCTTGAACCCAGGAGGTAGAGGTTGCAGTGAGCCAAAATTGCACCACTGCATACCAGCCTGGGCGACAGAGTAAGACTCTGTCTCAGCAAATGAATATATAAATAAAACCCCAAAGAATATCTTTTATTGTCCTAGGAAAGAGGAGCTGAGAGGTCTGAGGGAACTGGGGAACAGAGCCAGCGTAGAAATGTATACTCACACCTGAACCCCCTTGAAGGCATTAGAAATGCATGAAGCCCAGAAATGTATGCTCACACCTAAACCCCCATGAAGGCCTTCTTTGCACGCTCACATATGTACCCCTGTGAAGGAGCTTCTTAGTTAAGGATGGGCCAAAAACTTCCCACCTCGCACAGAAACAGTGGGAGGCATCCCTAGCTTTGGCCAGAGGCCAGGAGAAAGGCTTACATAATTCTTTCAGTTCTCACTTTCACTCGGTAAAAGCTGCAACCTGACTTGGTTTAGGGTCTGATCAATAAAGGTTTAAATGGGGTAGGGAGGAAATTCCAAGAATGGAAAGACGTTGTGGCTTAGGAGGGGAGGAGGGCACAGTCTGGCACAGCCAGCTGGGCGTTTCCTTTCCCGGCCCCTCCCTCTTCTTCCGCTCCTCCCTAGCTTTCCAATTCTCTCCTCTTCCTCTTCCTCCTCTTGTGCTCCGGCCGGCACTAGTCCAGAGAACAAACCTCTGGTCCTTTAGATCTGTTGCCGCCTACTGTGGGAACTTTGGTGAGTTTTCAACCTTCGGTGGGCCTCATTTCTCCCGTCTGTGCATTTAGGGGCTGGACCAGATGAATTCACCTTGCTTATCTGGCTGGGTGGAGCTGCTGTCTTTTAAGTTTAGTCTGGATGGGTAGAAAATGAGGAGGGCTCTTTTAGCTCTTATGCAATTAGCTCAGTCTGTCTGTAATCAGTTTTTCTGAACCAATTTGCAATAATCAGGAGTGGCATTAGGCATTGAATGAACTTGAGCTCTAGCTTTCTGCCTTTGCATATGATTGACTGTGAATGAAAGCGTGAGCTTGTTTCTTCTTTTCCTCATCCCATCCCAGGCCTTGGTATCCGCTAACAGTAACAGAGTTAACTCATCCTGGGTAGCGATCTTACTTTGAGCTTCTTGGGTCAGTATAAAAAGTGGGGCTTCAGGAATACCTTGTGTGATTTAAGGAGCCTTAATTGATATATTAGACTTCTCACCTGTAGCAGTTTGGACTCCTCGTTTTAAGGTTCAAATTAAGGTTTAAAATGACTGGAGTCTGGTTTTGCAGCTTATGTAAAACTGTTTTCTAAAAACTAAATTTGGGGCTGGGCGAGGTGGCCCATACCTGTAATCCCAGCACTTTGGGAAACAGGTTGGGGGGGTGTCACTTGAGGTCAGGAGTTCCAGACCATCCTGGCCCACAAGCTGAAACCCCATCTGTACTAAAAATACAAAAATTACCCAGGTGTAATGGCAGGCACCTGTATTCCTAGCTACTTGGGAGGCTGAGGCAGGAGACTCGCTTGAAGCCAGGAGGCAGAGGTTGTAGTGAGCTGAGATTAAGCCACTGAACTCCAGCCTGGGCAACAGAGCAAGACTCCATCTCAAAAAAAAAAAAAAAACCAACAAAAAAGGCCTAAATTTGGTGTCCTTGCTACTAAGGGACAACTAGAGACTAAGGTTTTTGTTTGGTTTGTTCTGCTTTGATTTGGTTCAAGAGACACTGATAACATGTTAAGTCTTGTTATCTATGTTCAGTTCCTTTGTGTGGTTAATCTAGTTTGGGGTTAATCCAGTTTGATCTAATTTAAAAAGGCAGATTGTCATAACCTAAGCACTACACATTTTGGTGGAATTAATCAGTGGCCACCGTCATGGTAAATGCTGAAGCCTCAAAGTTAAAATCTTCCCTCTGCTTCTTCCCTATTTCCTGTCCCGTCTTACTAGAATCCTGGAGGGGTAAGGCACAGTGGTTAAAGCATAGGTTTGGAGTCACATTTGCTCTGTGAGTTTAAATTGCTAATCCCTCTTAACTCTCCATTTTCAACATCCATGAAATAGGGACACTGATGTTAATAGCAAATATGCCTGTAGAGAAAGGGGTTAGCCCAGTCTCTGCCACCTGGTATACCCAGTGAGAGAGCTGTTGTCCCTTAGAAGTATTTCTTTTGGGGGATTAGATGACAGCACTCATGTTTTGTCACTGCTAGTTCAGGTCACTTGCTAGAATCTCCTAAAACAAACCCGTGCTGTCCACCCAAAGAGCCTTGCTCAGACTCCCTGACCATCTCTCCAATTTAAATAGTTGATTACGGTCTCTTTCTTGAAAATCTCTATCATTGTTTATTATTTGAAACAGGGTCTCACTTTGTTACCCAGGCTGGAGTGCAGTGGCATGAAATTGGCTCACTGCAACCTCCACCTCCCAGGTTCAAGAGATTCTCCTGCCTCAGCCTCCTGAGTAGCTGGAACTGCAGGCACACACCACCACGACCAGCTAATTTTTTGTATTTTTAGTAAAGACAGGGTTTCACCATGTTGGCAAGGCTGGTCTGGAACTCCTGAACTCAAGTGATCTGCCTGCCTCTGCCTCCCAAAGTGTTGGGATCATAGGCATGAGCCACTATACCCACCCAAAACTCTGTCTTATGCTGTGTTTATCCTGTTGTAGTGGCTGTTAAGCCATTTGTTAAAATCAGATTTCTGGGCCCCACCCTCAGCCTTTCTGATCTGGTAGGTCTGGGGTGGAGTTTGAGATTTGCCTTTCCAACAAGTTATCCGATAATGCGGATACTGCTGGTCAGGGTAGGAGAGTACAGTAATAATCACTGTTTTCTTGGGTTTGTCACCTTTAATATCCCTTTATCTAGGAATCCGTAGAGAAAAATTTACTGTTAGAAGTTTCTAGTTATTAAGTCCAGCATATAATAAGCTGAATTCATCACTGAAGGCCAGGTTCTACAAATAACTGAAAGAAACATGATATTCTTTTTTAATAAAGGGCAATTTGAAGGCAATCTAGCCAGTGAAAAGCTCTTAAACTGCTAATCACCCAGGTCTTGATCAGTGACAATTGATTAGTGGAGGAAATTGGTGTTTGTTAATACTAACGAAGATCCTTCTCATAATTACTTGTCTAAGCAATCTGTCATCCTTCAATAGAATATCCAGCTCAGATGGTTTGATTGATGGTTAAGTTGGCACCTGCTACACTACACCTTTATAACAGACATAAAATACACTTTCTTTTTTTGAGACAGTCTCACTCTGTCACCCAGGATTGAGGGGAGTGGCACGATCTTGGCTCACAGCAGCCTCCATCTCCCGAGTTCAAGTGATCCTCCTGCCTCAGCCTCCTGAGTAGCTGGGACTACAGGCATGCACCACCATTCCCAGCTAATTTTTGTATTTTTAGTAGAGATGAGGTTTCACCATGTTGGCCAGTCCACCTCAGCCTCCCTAGGTGTTGGGATTACAGGCGTGAGCTACCACGTCCAGGCTAATATTTAGGCTTTTGTAGCTGCTGTGATCATTAATCCTGCCCCATTCCTTCAGTATCGTTCAGAACCTTGATGGGTCTCCACAGGTTTCTAGTAAGCATAGATAAAGAAATGACTTATCGTCAAGGCCTGTACAAGGCAACCCCAGAAGACTGGCAAATGTTTTCAATTAGCTGCATTCCGAGTAACAGTAAATCTTTGGTTTGTATGGAACACAGTACTAAATAGAGTTTTCAGCTGTGATACTTCCCCAAATCTTGGGAGGCCCCTGTCATGACCTTTTAGTTAATTTCTGATGATACATAAGCTGTATGGTACATTTACACTTAATAGCAGGCTTTAGACTTTACTGAGTGTTCAAATAGGCACTTAAGTACAGCTTTTTTACATCCACATATGCATTTTCTGAAGTAGGGTTTTTGAGTTACAATTATTTAAAAAAGAACTCCAGTCCCAAGTAAATTTTTTTTTTTGTTTTCAGACAGGGTCTTACGCTGTCACCCAGGCTGGAGTGCAGAGTGATCGTAGCTTATTGCAGCCTCAACCTCCCAGGTTCAGGTGATTCTCCCACCTCAGCCTCCCAAGTTACTGGGATTACAGGCATGTGCCAGTAATGTATTTGTATTGTTTGTAGAGACGGGGTTTTGCCATATTGGCCTGACTGGTCTCAAACTCCTGGGCTCAAGTGATCCTCTCATCTTGCCTTCCAAAGTGCTGAGATTATAGAAGTGAGCCACTGCACCCAGCCCCAAGCTAGCTTTCTAAAGAGCTTAGGCTATTTCTTTGTGTAGTGAAGTTTCTGTAGATGTTTCCACTTGGACATTACATTTAACATGCATTTTTTATGAACACTTGGTTTGGGTTTCAGATAAGGAAGAGCTTTGCTTGGAGAAGAAAAGTGAAATGCAGGACTGGTGCGGTGGTTCATGCCTGTAATCCCAGTACTTTGAGAAGCCAAGATGGGAGGATCACTTGAGCCCAGGGGTTTGAAACCAGCCTGGGCAACATAGAGAGACCTCATCTCTACTCCCCCGCCCCCCAAAAAAGTGAAATTTGGGGCTTTGGAGCTTGGGCTTCTTTTTAAAGCTGTTCTAGAAACAGAGGATGCCCCCACACCAAGCTTAGACAGCAAGGATTTTAGTTTTCTCTAGGAAGTGCTAGCATGCCCAGTTTGCTAATTGGCTGCACTCTCTTCCACTCCAGTCTCTGATGGCAGGTGGCTGATTGTTGCTGTGTGCAAACCCACAATTAGCCACAAGCAGGTGCACACATTTGCTGGGGGTGGCTTTTTCCACACAAGTGCTTCAGCACACACAAAGGGTGGCCTCAGTTTTGCCAGCCATGTGGCTTTCTCAAAAATGAGTGGGGTTGGCACATTCCATCAGGGTACTTGGGGTCAGTAAAGAAAAACAACAGCCCATGAAAGGGGGCTTTGGAATGACCAAAGGAATTAGGAATTACTGCCTGAAAAATAGTTGTAGTTAAATAGAGGGTCATGGGTGGCTTCCTTCTGGAAAGTTATCAAAATAGGAATCTGGAATGCCTAAGGGAGGAGTTCAGCCTAGATAATCAGATAAAATGCAAGCATGTTCTTCATTGTGACATCTGAATTCCTGCTGAAATTATGGAGAGAAGCAGTTTCTGGTTTGGTCACTGAGAAGGAGCAAGTGATGTTGATTTATGGGCATTCTCTCTTGCTAGGACCCGGAGAAACCAGTCCCTCATGGCAATGCTGGTCAAGTGCATCTTTAAAATAACATAGCCGTTGCCATTAGGGTCAGGAATGTCCAGATGGGTTGAGCGCATTCATTGCTGGTGAAAGGCAGAGACATCCCGGTTGAGGCTTGTTCACCTCCCCTGCTACTTTTGGGCTCTCCCTCTGAACTCTGAGGTTGATCCTGACTCATAAACCATGCCTCCTGCCCAGCCAGACAGGGAGGGCCCTTCTGTGCAGAAGCCAGACCTGGCTGCTCCTGCAAGCTCCATAGATCCCTGCAGCCCTAGGCTGCCAGACATTCCCCAAGAGGGTGAACAAATAAGCCCTCAGCTACTGCCAGTCCACTCAAACGTGAAATCCTGTTTGGTCCTAAACTCCAAAAATGATCGAGCTTAACCTTCTAGAATAATGTGCCAGTGTTTCTGACACCCCAGTGGATTCATTTTTGGGTCAGTAGGTTCTAACCACTTGTATTAGCATTGCAGCACCTCCCCCTAGCAGGGCTGTGAGCTTGAACTTTGGCTTCCCCACGTCTACTCACTGGCCATATATGATACCTTTTTGTTGTGAATAATGTAACATAGAAGAATGCACAAAACATGTATGTTGATATATAGAAAAAAATTAGGATGAAGCTGAGCCTGGCAT